AAAGAGCCGGCTCTTTTTAGTGAGCCGAGCCAAAGGAACCGGTTCTCTATTCAATAGCTATCAGATAGTGAAATCTCTCCCAGTTCCTCTCAAACATGCAGTGGGTGCAGGAACTGAAATAAAAATTAATCTGGACTAAATCTCTGTATATGGATTTGTCCTGGTCGTCATTGTAAACAATTCTCAATTGATTTACCTGCTTAAATAAAGGTAAAATAATAAAACAAATAGTGTCATAGTGCTGGTAGAAGACTGATGCTGACTGACACATCACTAGGTAATCATCTGCCACGATGGCAAAACACATTTTGCTTTTTTGTGTCTGTTAGTCAAGAGGGCCAGGAAGATTTGATTGATCTCTCACTCGGACTCTGAAATGTGGCTATGTTAGATGTTGTTTTGGTACTCAGAGGGAGAAAAGCACAGATTTGGTTGTGATGGTTTGAGCCCACAATTCTTGCCCTATCTCTCTCTGCACTACATGGATTGCAGACGTTTGTTGGGAGGAGAAATACGTTAGATGCAGACAGAATGAGTTCAGGTCAGGATAACAGGGCAGCCCTCCATCACCTTGCCTCCTTCTGGACCCACTGACACATGATTGACAGCAGTTGATGGTTGGGGGGAGGGGGCGCTGATCTTTCCATCAGATCAAGGAGAGAGAGAGAGAGAGAGAGGAAGCACTCATTCTCATTCTCAGTGAATTCTCTCAGGCTTATTTATTTGGTTTCTCGCCTTCCAACTTATTTCGGGAACTTGCAAAATATGCTCCCTCCCAAGAGGTTAGATTTCTATCTTCGGCCTGTGCAGGGAAATGCTTTACCCAAACTTTTGGCAACTCCTATCAACCTCTTTTCTCTTCTGTGACAAACACAAACTTGCTAGTAAACAATTCATTAAAATCATTGATGGCAGTTTACCAACCAGCTCTAAAGTGACTTGTTTAGCTTTTTTTGGATGCAAGAATGACAGCCTCAGTGTGTAGCACAGTCTTTGCTTCAAACACGTATCTAATGCTCTGATTTGATCCACAGAAGGATGTATCTAAAACACAGAGCAGGCTTTCTTTGACTGATTTAATGCAGCCTTCACTCACAATTAATGAGCTTTAGTAACTTGTTTTTTTTCTTCTGTGTCATTTTAGAAGTGCTCTGTGAAGTTTCCCCTCAAGGACATTTAGGTAGTGGCTTTCGTGTTATATTAATCTTCTCACACAAACAGTTCTTCCTGTCTTTTGATGTGTTTTACAGGACAATCAAAGTGGAGGTGTATGACTGGGACAGAGATGGGAGGTAACAGACACACAGACAGTACTGTAGTCACAGTGCATTCATAAATTATGTCATTTATCAAAAGTTCCCCATGTCTGGCCCACTGTCCATGTCCCTTTAAATTCCTTCATACATTACATTTTCATCACATTCACAATTTCTTCTCCTTAACTGCTAATATTTTTTTCATTAACAATTGATTATTAGATTCCATCTGTGCCTCAGTGTCTGTGCTGTAACTTTATCTTCTACCTCTCAGGGCTGTTTCTACCATATCTGAATGAACTGTATCTGATACACTTTTTGTCTCTTTTCTCCAGCCACGATTTTATCGGTGAATTCACCACAAGCTACAAAGAGCTATGTCGAGGTCAGAGCCAGCTAAATGTCTACGAGGTGAGTAGAGATAAAGACAGTCAATACTGTTATCACCCCCTCTATTTTTCCTCTGAGAACCTTTATTTAAAATGACTTTTTTTAAATAAAGGTTTGTTTTGACAAGTAGCTCTGTTTAAAACCTTTTAAGATCACAACACTGTCTCAAAAATTGTAGTTATGTTAATTATGTTATACATTACTTTTTCCTGCTATTCTTCCGTGATCTCTTTAAACTACTAGAGTATAATTCAGGCCACAATGTAGGGTGTCCACACCCATTAGTAAATATGCTTTAAGTCAAGTGAATCACATAGACCATACTGTGGCTGGACAGAGCTGTGAGAAACCTTTTTAATGACAAGGTTATTCTGGTAGGGCACAAAAACAAACCTTCATTTCTGGGTACCAGCGTGAGAAAACAACTTCGATTTAAGAGCAAATTTAAGAGCCCTTTGGCTCAACAAGGTCTTGTTATCCAAAGTTTAATGACTTTAGGGGGCTGTGGTTGTTTGAGCCAGAGTTGTGGCTATTTGAGATTAACAGCTCGCCTCGTCTGTCTTTCCTCACCCTACACAGCATAAAGCATCTTAGAGGTTAAGTGTTGCAGCAGAGCTGTTGAGGAAGGGTGTTTCTGTGGTGAGAATACAAATGGATACAACAGAACTATGCAGCTGATTAAAGTTTTTTTGGATGGTCCTTGGAGGGTCAGAATGGGCATTACTGTTAGGCACTGGGTGCTCCTATCGGTCCCTGCTCATTAAAACACTTGCCACGTTACATTAGCCTCTGAATTAGTCATGGAGGTGGCTTAAGGAAAGAACAGGGCCAATAAAGAAAGTGAGAGGGAAAGGATGGTGGGTAGATTGGGATAGCTAAGGAGAGAATTAGTGAGTGGCAAGCAGACTTGCCCTTTCACACTGCTGACATGGCAGAAGGAGGTGCATCCATTACCCTTCACCAAACCTTTCTGTATTTTAATCAGAAACTGAAACACAGCAGTTTCTTTGTGCACTCTTTGCCAGGTCAGTGCCCTTGAGTCAGTTTTAAGATGTGGTCAAAAATGACACGAAGCCACCTTTTCACTGTTGACAAATAATACATTTGATAAGGTCACTGGCCTGCAGTGTTCAACTCTTTGCAGATTCCTGTGTGCTCAACCTGACATGCACAGGGCCTGCAAACATTCGCTCTGTGAGTTGAAATGACAGCAGCCTAATGCTAATAGATGTTGGTGTAATTGAGGGTGATGTCTGTGTGACGTAATGTGAACCTGGAAGTGACTGAGCGATGTTTGCGGTGCTATGAGGCATAATCTATGTTGGAGGAGTTTGAGGAGTAGCATCAGGAAGCACAGAGGCAGAACGGAGGAGAGGAGGAGAAAGGAAGAGAGCGAGATACCTTTTACTTTATTATACAGTGCAGTTTGCTCCAGGCTTGTGCTTTGTGTTTGTGTGCAGACCCATAGAATAAGCAGTAGATATATGACCTTAATGGCTCACTGTTGCACATGTTTTTGGCTGTAAGCTCTAAAAGTTGACAAGTCTAAACATTGATTTAAAGCAGGGGGGTACTGTAATCGCTCATAATCAACCATATATTTGTGTATTGTTGTATATTTTACACATTATTCATCACAGTGAATTTATACACAATGTAATGATATGTGATAGCTGGGACAGAGATATGTGTTCCACCGCCCCTAAGCTTGGCAATGCACATATAATATGTACAGCACAATCTAGGTGCTTATAGAAATCCCCCTGGATAATCTGTATCTTGCTGCGAGGCATGATCAATGCTATCTCATTCTCACCTACTGTGGTTATTGGATTCAGTCCCTCTGCTCCATTACACTCACGGACATGGAGTAGGAGGACAAAGATGTTTTTATTACTTGCCTAAGGGTGGATAAAAAGAATTGTGCTGCAAGTTTACATTATAATTATCCTTCTTTTCTATTCTGCCTTTATACCAGGTGGTGAATGCCAAGAAGAAAATAAAGAAAAAGAGATACATCAACTCTGGGACGGTGAGTCTGAGTTCTCAGATAAGAGCAACCCTCACCAGTGCACGCACGTCCCTGCCTTCCTTTGCTTTTGTATTCATCAGGAAGTTTCCTCTAAGTGGATTGCATGAGGCAGTTCAGCTCTGTTAAATGTTTTCGTCCATTCCCAGTCTCAGGACTTATGATCCAGAGAGTGAATATAAGTAGATGGGAAAATATTTGCGTGACCTTAAACAGGGTGAATAACCAAGTCCATAGTAATGCATAAAGGGACTCTTGTCTGAGTCCTGTCAGTGAAGGATGTTTATAAATGAGCCACAGCTTTGAAACTGCCGCAGTTCTTTGCCTGCTCTTACTTTGGCTTGACTCTGTAATTAAAATCTGTAGCCAGTTATCCATCACACTGATCATCCGTCGGTGCGCAGCCACACTGATTGTACTCCTAATAGACTGCCCAGGTGTCAAAATCATTCTGCGTGGATAAGTGATTTTGTGGGTGGTTAGCTCGGAGGTCAGTGTTAATGTGTAGATTGGTAGATTTTGCTTTCCTTAATTACCAAGCATGACATAATCTGTTGGACCTTTTTTCTCAGGTGTCTTTGTTGTCGTTCAATGTGGAGTCGGAGCACACCTTCCTCGATTACATCAAAGGGGGGTGAGTTTGATGTTTGTCTTACAGTTGTGTTGTTGGTGTTTATATAAATACACACTATATTTACATATTACAATGTGCCAGGCTCCTTAGGGAATAAGCACAGAAAGTCTGACAACATAATTTAAGTTCCCCTCCTCAAAAATGGGTTTTGTTATTCAACTTGGATGTTTGAGCTTCACGGTGCAGAATGATGAGTTTGATGGCTGTTTTCACATTCAGCTGCTGGAGAGAGAATATTTCCCTTTGCACACCTTAATCTTAGTTTAAGGCATGTATATACTGGAAGAATCTGCAACATCAGAACTGTTTTGAAATTTTAATTCATTATGTGAATTATAGAAATGTGATGGAAAAACATCAGTGCCTCCAGTGCACATACACTGAGAATGTTGGAGACATCTTGTGTCCAACAGTTAAACTATTGAAAATAATTGTTTTTGCTTATTCATACATTTGGATTTTTCAGTGAATGACAAGAAGTATATTTTAAGAATACTTAAAAAAACCCAAAATCAGACACAAATTATTATTCCAAAACAAGGTATTTTTTAATTCCTATAACATGTCCGGATGAGATCCTTAATGACTTTTATCTTTTTTAACATTTATGTGTCAGCTTTGTAAACACACAGCTGTGACATTCTGTGTGAATAGTTGGTCACAAACTGAACAACCGCAGGCTTACTGTAAAGGATAAATTTAGCTACTGGTTATGTTCATGTCCATTATGTGCTTGTGCGTATGTAGTCCATTAAAAATACAAAAAAATCTGCATCATTCAAACTGCAGAGATAAAGAACTGACCACATTTTCCAGTATGCACAGCATGTTAGTTTCTCCAGGGCGATCCTGTATGCATCATTTTTCACATCATATCAGAGTTATCTTTGAGTCTCAGACTAAAGTCAAAGTTGAATGTCAACATATAAACCATAATCATGACTGGGAAACCTAGATTTTTATGAAAACTGATATATTCCATGTGGTACTTCATAATACAGAGATACCTGAAAACCAAACAAATATGGATGCCTCACGTCATTCAAAGACCGTCCTTATATTGATATATTGATGATATTGAATTTATAATTGAGGACCTAGTGTATTATGGTGGCACTTCAAAAAATAGGTTGAAGCATCACAGTTAGTGCCTTGATCAAGGGTATAGAGGCATTATTTTCAAGCAGTCAGCTGTTTTTCAAATGGCAGATATCTGATTTCATTTAACGGATATGGTGCTATGCACAGTATTCAAATTCTCACACGACAACTTTTGTAATCATACAACCATCTTGATCATGTGAAAATGTGCAAGTCGTAAACATGGTAATCTTTCCCATCTCTACCATCCATTCCATATATCCCTGCTTGCCTAACAAACATCAGGAACAGGCACATGCTGTTACAACAGCAACGTGATTGAAGAGGGCAAGACATTAACTGCTTGCTACCTATTACCAGCTGTTATATGCAATAGCTATACTTCCTGTAATAACAATAACGATAGCCCCTGTTGTCACATGTTGACACTCCATCTGCAATTTCTTCTGCAACCGAATCCAGTAAAAACAGTCCACTGGAAAAACTGACTTATTTTTGTTCCTGGCTGCTAGTGTTTATTGTCAAAGATTGTTGTGCTGCTGCAACCTAAGTGGCAGCCTCCTGAGCCTTCGCCTCAGTTTGCTGTATTTTATTGACAGTGGGGTTTTGGTTCATGCTGGCATGTTTTGATTTAGATGGGTTGTGTTGTGATGTGGGGGTGTGACATTGGCCTAGTGGTATAAGATGTTGTCCGCCGTTTAATTCGGTTAGAGATCTTTATTGTAAGTCATTCCAATTTCTTGTCTGTCTCTCAAGTGTCTGCTACTGTATCACAAATAAGAAAAAGAAAAATCCCCAAGAATATAGAAATGTAGTTTAATCTATTGTCTTGTCCATCATGTTGCTGTATTTTAGGAAAGCCTTGATAGACAAAAATAAATAAATACCAAAATACTAATATTACTAAATAATAAGAGCAAGAGTAAAAAGACAACATCACATAAAGGCAAGTCTATAAAAAAGTTGTTTTTTTCCCCACTGATTCTGCAAACCTTATATCCTCAGGCAGGTCGTTCCAAAGCTGAGGGCAAAACCACAGACACTTTTAGGTTTAAGCTTCGACTGTGAACTTGACCATTTTAGGATGTAAGGCTCATAAGGGGTCAGCATCTCTGCTATGTAGCTTGGGGCTAAACCCAGGCGTGCTTTAAAAGTGATCAGTAAAATCTTAAAATCAATTCTAAAACGAACAGGGAGCCAATGGAGAGAAGCCAGCATTGTTGTGTTGTGATATTGTCTGTTGGAACCAATAAGAAGCGTAGGCAGTGAGAGGAAAAACACAATTTACTGAACTCTCTCTGTAGTTTCACCTTACATAGATACAATATTAGATTATCAGTCAATAGTGGGAGTTAAGTTGCCACAGCAATACAGACAACAAAGTGTTGTGGGTATTGTAAACATGTCACTGCTGTGACTAATACATGAAAGTAAGGAAGACAATCAGTGCTGTGAGATTTCACGCAGTAGATTTAAATGCATTACTCCGGCTCCACTGCTCTCCATTGCAATACAACGACCCGTCCACATTTCCTCTACTGTTGTTGACTGCGGTTCCTGAGTTGCCTGGAATTTTTCATGTGAGTATAAAAGTGTGGCTCCAAAGGAGACGACCTTGTCCACATTCACAACTGTGTGTGTGAATGAATATGAATGACTATGATAAAATATGGAGGCGATCTGAGAGCTTAATTAAGGGCCCACAACCTGTCACATATGGAAATGTTTCTCAGTGGATCAGTGGCTGCCCTGGTTTTAGTTTTCTGCTGCTTTGCCACTGATGGCTGAGTGTCCCAGATCTGTCCTGTTGGTCTCTCTCCAGCTCACACAAGTGGACACTATATCCACACACACACATAGACTCAAAGGAACAGTGTTTTCACCCTTACCTTTATTACCTGTTTGCCTCTGATTTAATTTGTCCTTGAGTCACTGTATTGTGGAGGGCGAAGGACAATAAACAAACAATGAGTTCTAATACACTGTCGGTTCAAAAAGATGTAGTGCATTTAGATACATATTTCAGTTATTGTGGTTTCTTGTTTTTTGTTGAAGCATTTTAAGATAATTTAAGGTAATTTGATTTTCACAAAAACCCAGATAAACACTTACTAACCTAAATATGAGCACTGGGATTTGCTGTTGTTGGGGTACGTACTCTCTTAGTTGGGTGCCGACATATTTCTGCATGACATTTGGGAGGAAGGAAGCTCAAAGACAGAAGTGAGAGATAACACACTGTTCATAAATGTGTGCGATATTAGAGATTCAGTGGAATAATAAATGTCTGTAATCAGTCTGTCCAAAATGAGACCCTAATATAAGATAAACAAGAAGTCCAAATTGTCTGAAACTGTTTTAAGACCACATTGTACCACTTTATCGGATTTTGCTTTCATATACCAAATAATTTTTCACAACAGATAAATATCTACAGAAACTCAGAATTCATGAAGAGAAAAAGAAATATTACATAAACAGTGCTTTTCCACAAAAGGCAAAATCTTGTTTCCCAAATATAGGGACGAAGACACCACCACCAAGCCGTTGATCAAAGATGTCACCATAAAAAACCCCGCCCAAATTTATGGCAGATGGCTCAGGACTCGAGATTAAATTTATTTAAATGTTTCCTTTCCTTTTGCTTTAAACTGTGTCAGACTTAAGTATATTTAAAATCTTTGTTTCAGTAACTCGCATCACTTCATCGACTCACTCTGGTCTGCCATGGGAGTTCTGCTAGTTGTCTGCTAATTGAAATCACTCTAGGTGTTTGGCCACAATCATTTTCATTATTCTTTTAGTCATTGGCTGAGTTACTGTTTCTTGTTTATGTCTAAATATTTGATCACTTTGAAATTATTTAAAGTGTGTATATTATTATGTGTTAATTATTCTTATTTAGCCAAATAATCACAAACCCATTACAGGGACATTGAATGTTTGAGAAGATCAAACAAACTATTTAAATATTTACAAGCTCAAATACTAATCCAAAGATCTGTAGAGAAAAGAGTAAGAGAGGTTAAACGTGCCCCACACGCCACCTACTGATTGCCTGTATTGTAATAATTCTTTTTGTAACGATACATTTCTCTACTGTCTCAGACACTTTATCTTTGTGTCCCAGGTGCTATTTTTATTGTCCCCGGGACAACAGGACATCCTTGATTTTGAGCACTGAGATTGCTTTACACTGAGGTAGAGTGCTGAGAAAAATATGGTTTACTGTCATACGGGAATGCACAATACACCACCAATAGAAAACATTTCATTGGTTACCTGCTGTCTGTGTCCACTGAAGTAAACATTTTATTAGAATATACTACTGCTGGAGTTGTTGAACAGATAATGGGCTAGTTAACTAGTTAACAGCATGTATTTATAGATGATTACCCTAAGAAAGACTCTCATGGGAACAACTTGAACTTTATCCAAGTGGGTGTAGGAAGAGTATAGTTTAAAAGTAATAACAAAAACAGTATTTATATGACAATACATTTATTTCTAATGGTTATGAAATGTTCAATCTAAAGAGCCACTTTATTCTGATGTTAACAGAAATCTGACTGAGCTCTAATGCTGCACCCGCGTTACTTTCACCTAAATCTGTTGTTAAAGTTATTAAAGTCATCTGTTACTTAATCTCAGTTCTCTGAAATCAGATTGGAATTGAACTCTTAATAAAGCCATCATTTTGGAGCTTGAAACTGCTTTTTATCCATCATGTTAAATGAAAAGTGGTAATCTTCACATGAAACTGTTTCAGACACAAATGAGAGACAGATTACCCCATTAATTAATGTGACCCGGCACAGGGAGTGAAGCATTATGTAGAGTGGTACTTAGAGATGTTAAAAGCTCATCAGCTCTTTTGTATGGTTTCAATGTCGTGCTAG